TGGGTCTTGCCATTTTAGGCACAAATGTTCCGGGTGCGGGCGCTCCCATCCCTTGTCGCGCTGTTTCCAGCGGGGTCGAGGCCTTTCCGGAGAGCATGCTGGTAAGAGGGACGACTCCGGTGCGAGTGGAAAGGATGGGGCTTTTCTTAAAGAGGTAGTATCCTGATCGCGCAGCTGCAGTGCTGCTGACGGCGGGTTTTCCAGAGGGTTTTCGCATCCCGTGTACTTTGACTTTGATTCCTCCCTTAGCTCGGAATTTGCGGTCGGCCTTGCGGCATGAGGAGGGGGTTTCGGCTAAGTTGCGTAAGGAAGTGGGGTTGGGACACATGGGGGGTCAGTTTGCTTGCGCTCCGTTTTCGGATTTGGTTGTTTCTCCCTTGGGGGTTGTGCCCAAGAAGGAGCCGAATGCGTTTAGGTTAATTCACCACCTGTCCCTTCCCTGAGGGGGGGTCGGTGAATGATGCTATTGATTCGGAGTCATGTTCGGTGTCTTACACGTCCTTTGATGTGGCTGTTTTCTGGGTCCGTCGGTATGGGCGCGGTGCGCTCATGGCGAAATCGGACGTTGAGTCGGCTTTTCGGCTGTTGCCAGTCCATCCGGACAGTTTTCGTTTTTTGGGTTGTCATTGGCAGGGCTAATTTTTACGTTGATAAGTGCCTTCCTATGGGGTGTTCTATATCTTGCGCTTTGTTCGAGAGGTTCAGTTCATTCGTGGAGTGGGTGGTGCGGGATGTCTCAGGGGTGAATTCGGTCATCCAATATTTGGATGATTTTCTTTGCGTGGGTCCGCCAGATTCCGGAGTATGTGCAGTTTTGCTGGCCACTTTGCAACACTTTGCTGAACGTTTCGGGGTTCCTCTGGCGGTGGATAAGACTGTGGGCCCGGCTATGGAGATGACTTTCTTGGGCATTGTTTTGGATTCCGGCACGATGGAGTGTCGCTTGCCTGAGGTTAAAGCTGGTGGCTCTACAAGGGGAACTACGTGGGGTGCTGGGGCAAGCGAAAAATTCAGCTGCGGGCCTTACAGTCATTGTTGGGCAAAACTTAACTTCGCTTGTCGGATTCTGCCCATGGGTCGGGTGTTCTGCTGCCGGTTGGCGGCGGCGACGGGCAGGTATTACCTCCCCTTTACATTTTATTCGGGTGACTCGGGATCATCGGGGAGGACTTGCATTTGTGGCACACCTTTTTGGATTCGTTTAATGGGCGGGCTCTCTGGATGTCTGGCCCTGTTAGCAATTTTGACTTGGAATGGTTCAGGGACAGGGCGGCGTCGGCGGGCTATGGGGCTTTTTCCAGGGTTGATGGAGTACGGCCTCGTGGCCAGCTTCCTGGCGGGAGGCGGTTTTCTTCGCAACTTGGTGTTGTTGGAACTTTTTCGGTGTTGGCGGTTGAGGTTTGGGAGAGGATTTTCGAAATCTAAACGTGCGTTGTTACTGTGACAATTTGGGGGTGGTTCAGGTCATCAATCGGGTCTCAGCTTCTTCACGACCGGTGGTGGCCTTGCTTCGCCATTTAGTGTTGCGTTGTCTGCGTCTGAATGTTTTTCTCCATGCGGTGCGTCTCCCTGGGGTTGATAACACGTGGTTGACGCTTTGTCTTGCTTTCAGTGGGACAAATTCCGAGAGGTGGCGCCGGCGGGCAGAGCAACACGGGGTTCCTTGTCCCGACGGGGCTGTGGGAGATTGCCTTGGAGTCCTTGCGGGCTGGATCCAGCGTTCGGTGAGTGAGCCGACTTGGTCTGCATACTCTAGGGTCTGGTGGGAGTGGCTGGATCTGCTACAGCGGGTTGAGATTGATCCCTGGGGGCCGGAGGTGTTTTTGGCGGTATTGTACTTTGTGGCGTGGAATTTTGAGCGGGGGGTGTCGGCTGCTGCGGTGGATCGCCGACTGGCGGGTTTTGGCATTCTTCTTTAAGTTGCAAGGGTGTCAGGATTTCACTGAAGATTTTTTGGGTTCGGCAGGCTCTCCGGGGTTACCGGAGCGCTCATCGATGTAAGGATTTCTCGTCGTCCGGTGTCTTTTGAGTTGTTGGGGTCTTTGTTTGTGCATTGGTGGTCTGTGTGTTCTTCGGACTTTGAGGTGTGCTTATTTCGGGTGGCTTTTGCGGTAGCCTTTTTTGGGGCGTTGCGTATTGGGGAGCTCGTTAGCCCGTCCGAATCGGTTCTTGGGGGGGTTATTGGTGGATGAAGTCAGGTGCTTCGGTGAATGGGTGGAGGTGCTGGTACGTCGGTCTAAGACGGACCAATTGGGACGTGGTGGTCGGGTGCATTTTTTTCGTTCTTCCGGCTTCGCTGGTGTGCCCAGTGCGGGCGGTTCGGGAATTTTTGTCCCGTCGTCCAGTGGGGCATGGGTGTTTTTTCAGGCACGCTGAGCGGGAGCTGGTGCGAGATGTCAAAGCTGGACTTTCTTTCAGTTGCGGCGGGCTTATCCGGGGATGGTGGTGGTGTGGTCCGACATTGTCGCCCGTGCCTCTTGGCGTTGGGCGCGGTCAGGTCGGTAGAGAGACTCAACAAGGCTCGGATTAAGGTTAACAGAGAGGTGGGGCGTTTCTTTAGTCACCATGGGGGGTTGGTGGTCTGGCGCTTGGAGTTGGAGGTGGATACTTGGCGGTATCTCAGGTGCGATGGGGTACATTTGAATGCGGTTGGGACGGATTTATGGTCCCTGGATCTGCAGGATGGCATGCAGCGGGCTGTTCGTTTGTGGCGTGGCACGCATGGGTAAGGGCTTACCCAGCGTGCTGTGGCGGTTGTTGGTCTTTGGAGGCGGTTCTTATTTGGAAGGTAAACAACAATGGTGTGGGACCCATCCGTGGTATGGGATGCCCGGGGGACATTCCCAGTTAACCAAGGTTTAACTGGAAGGTGGTGGTGCTGCACTGCGGACGGTATGGTTTGTCTCCGAGCTGGTTGGTTGCGGCTGGAGGCCTAGTGTATATGGTTGTCCGCAGGTGCATTTCGGATTGTTTTGGGGTGCCTTCGAAGACCAACAACAATTATGTGGGTTTCTGTTATAAGGAATGGTTGGTGTATTGTAACTTGAGTTGTTAATAAAAGGCCATGTTGGCCATTTACTCCAAAATTGGTGTTATGTCTTTTGTTAGTATAATTGGTTAAGGGGAAGGGGGTTGGTGCGGAACGGTAATGGTGGTAATGGGGAAGTGGACGAGCCTATCTCTGGTGCAATAGTCAAGAAATGCCCGTAGCGAAAGAAAGAAGAAATAGCGCAGGGCATACATGACTAGGCCCAGAGTGGGGGAAGGAAGAGCAGAAAGGGTTAAGGTAGCTCCAGGAGGATTTTGTTATTGTTAGTGGGGGGTAGCTGATTGGTAGAGGTTGGTGTAGGTGGGGTTTTGCTGCACCTTAGGATGGGAGGTTCTGTGAGGGGGAGTCAGTTAGCTGGACGGCAAGAGTGTGAGCTTCCCTCCCGCCCTCCCTGTTTGGGTGAGTTTTGGGTCCCTCCAGGTAGAGGGGGGGATTATGTTGGTTCATGGGCGGTTGTTGGTCTTTGGAGGCGGTTCTTATGTTTAGGAAGGAAGGTAAACAACAATGGTGTGGGACCCATCCGTGGTATGGGATGCCCGGGGACATTCCCAGTTAACCAAGGTTTAACTGGAAGGTGGTGGTGCTGCACTGCGGACGGTATGGTTGTCTCTGAGCTGGTTGGTTGCGGCTGGAGGCCTAGTGTATATGGTTGTCCGCAGGTGCATTTCGGATCGTTTTGGGGTGCCTTCGAAGACCAACAACAATTCTGTGGGTTTCTGTTATAAGGAATGGTTGGTGGCGGTTGTTGGTCTTTGGAGGCGGTTCTTATTTGGAAGGTAAACAACAATGGTGTGGACCCATCCGTGGTATGGGATGCCCGGGGACATTCCCAGTTAACCAAGGTTTAACTGGAAGGTGGTGGTGCTGCTGCACTGCGGACGGTATGGTTGTCTCCGAGCTGGTTGGTTGCGGCTGGAGGCCTAGTGTATATGGTTGTCCGCAGGTGCATTTCGGATTGTTTTGGGGTGCCTTCGAAGACCAACAACAATTATGTGGGTTTCTGTTATAAGGAATGGTTGGTGTATTGTAAACTTGAGTTGTTAATAAAAGGCCATGTTGGCCATTTACTCCAAAATTGGTGTTATGTCTTTTGTTAGTATAATTGGTTAAGGGGAAGGGGGTTGGTGCGGAACGGTAATGGTGGTAATGGGAAGTGGACGAGCCTATCTCTGGTGCAATAGTCATGTATAACAATAATAATACTGGACTTTACTGGCAATGAAAGGGAATACAACCAACACATTTATAAAATGTAATGTTTATTTACAATCATATTAACACAAATTATTGATCAAGTCAATAATATTTGTTAAAAATAATATACACATAATTCTCTAGTGAATTTTGTCTGCTGACTCACTGTAAGGAAATATGTCTTATTAATTGGCATCCATGTTGTATAATGCCTCCATTTCTAGATGTGTGAACAGTTAGTTTCGGTTTTGTAACTTCTCTCTCGTTTCCTTAGATTAGTTTCATTTCTGTAAAAGGAACGACCTTATATGGTATCCCTCAACTATTTGCAGTTTTTGTTCTTCACGTAACTATATTGATAAGAATGGCATGTTTCATTGGTCATCCTAAGGTTAAGCAACACCTACCGAGTTCTGTATATCTGTTCTTGTCATACATTAAATTTTCAGAGATTTAGCTTGCACACTTCGGTGTCTGGAGCTTTATTTCTCCCCGGCCTGAGGGTGAAAATAACGAGGACATTATGGGCTACAGACATAGGTTGAATCCTTGCACTCACTATCCACCTATACATTTTGATAATCATAGAGTATACAGTATACAGTAATGTGGTGGAATCGTGAGTCCTTATGAGTTCTCATGAGTCAATGGATTTCTCTTTGTTAGTTTTTTTTAGGACACATGAGACATCAGCAGCAATCACTAAGTACGAAAAACAAAAAAACAAAAACACAATAATATATACCGTATTTTTCGCTCTATAAGACGCACTTTTTTCCCCCCAAAAAAGGGGGGGAAATGTCAGTGCAATAGTGGTGTGACCCTCCTGCGCTCCAAATGTGTGTTTAAACAATTAAACAAAATAAATATATGTATGAACCCCAAACAGATGCTAGCATTAAATCATATACCAGTGATCAAGTGAATATAAACCATATAGAATGCTGCGCTACATTCAAACTAATTTAAGTGAATGTGGAATCCAATATCTCAAATCAAAATAGTGACAATAATAATAAAAATATATACGTGCTTACTGATATCAAAATTATCAAATAAAACACCCAAAATGATGAAAAACACTAACTTAAATCTATACGCATGTGCATGAGAAATACATATACATATAATTACATCACACGTGCAAAATGTGAAGTGAAATGTTGACTAAATAATAAACGCAAACTCAAAGTCCAATATTGGAATGTTGAAGGTGAACAAAACTGTAAACAGTGTTTCCAATAATACTATAAAGTGACCACAGGTGAAACAAAATCGTGCAGGTATCTGGGTGTAGATAGAGCTTATGAATCCAACCACCTTCTGGATTAGCCTCTCACCTCATCACTTCGACCCTTGCGGATCAAAGAGCAGTAATGGATCCCTCTCACAGATCCTCCAGGCACCAAAGCATATATGATATATCTTAGATATATCCTCATCTGAGAGCATGAGGGTCTAATGTGGACTGGCTGCTACGTAAGTTCAATTTTACCAAAGATTTTATGTTCCTATGGTATAATAAATATACTACACTATGGGAGGATTCCTCTGTTTTGTTCTGAGAGATTGATATTTCACCTATACCTGGAGAAGAGCTTGAGTGGGAATATTAAATCCTGAAAAGCGTTTTTGGAGTGCTTTGGTGCCTGGAGGATCTGTGAGAGGGATCCATTACTGCTCTTTGATCCGCAAGGGTCGAAGTGATGAGGTGAGAGGCTAATCCAGAAGGTGGTTGGATTCATAAGCTCTATCTACACCCAGATACCTGCACGATTTGTTTCACCTGTGGTCACTTTATAGTATTATTGGAAACACTGTTTACAGTTTTGTTCTCCTTCAACATTCCAATATTGGACTTTGAGTTTGCGTTTATTATTTAGTCAACATTTCACTTCACATTTTGCACGTGTGATGTAATTATATGTATATGTATTTCTCATGCACATGCGTATAGATTTAAGTTAGTGTTTTTCATCATTTTGGGCGTTTTATTTGATAATTTTGATATCAGTAAGCACGTATATATTTTTATTATTATTGTCACTATTTTGATTTGAGATATTGGATTCCACATTCACTTAAATTAGTTTGAATGTAGCGCAGCATTCTATATGGTTTAAAATGTCAGTGCGTCTTATGGAGTGAATATAAAGCGGCGGGTCCGGTATTTCCGCCGCCACCATGTCAGAATACTGGGCCGGCAGCTCAGCTGTTCTCTGCTGCAGGACCTTACCTGTTCCTCGGTCCAGTGCTGTACAGTCTTCCCACGCCGGCATCTGTGACAGCCAGGTGCCCACTGCGCATGCGCGAGAAGCGCTGCGCTTTGTGAATGGTCCGGTGTCTTCTGGGACACATGACAGGTGACAGCCGGGTGCCCACAGAAAAGGGAGGTCAGCTGTCAAATTCAGGTACCCGCTCCCCCTCCCTCCCTAAAGGTCCGCAGTCTCTGGTCATCTCCTGTACTGTCTGCAGTCTCTTGGTCATCCCCTGTACTATCTGCAGTCTCTGGTCAATCTCCTGTACTGTCCGCAGTCTCTGGTCATCCCCTGTACTGTCCGCAGTCTCTGGTCATCTCCTGTACTGTGTGGCCGCAGTCTCTGGTCATCTCCTGTACTGTGTCCGCAGTCTCTGGTCATCTCCTGTTCTGTTCTGTGTCCGCAGTCTCTGGTCATCTGCTGTACTGTGTCTGCAGTCTCTGGTCATCTTCTGTACTATGTGCACAGTCTCTGGTCATCCCCTGTACTGTGTCTGCAGTCTCTGGTCACCTCCTGTACTGTGTCCGCAGTCTCTGGTCATCTCCTGTACTGTGTCCGCAGTCTCTGGTAAGCTCCTGTACTGTGTCCGCAGTCTCTGGTCATCTCCTGTTCTGTGTCCGCAGTCTCTGGTCATCTCCTGTACTGTGTCTGCAGTCTCTGGTCATCTCCTGTACTATGTCCGCAGTCTCTGGTCCTTCTCCTGTACTGTGTCCGCAGGCTTTGGTCATCTCCTGTACTATGTGCGCAGTCTCTGGTCATCCCCTGTACTGTGTCCGCAGTCTCTGGTCATCTCCTGTACTGTGTCTGCAGTCTCTGGTCACCTCCTGTACCGTGTCTGCAGTCTCTGGTCATCTCCTGTACTGTGTCTGCAGTCTCTGGTCAGCTCCTGTACTGTGTCCGCAGTCTCTGGTCAGCTACTGTACTGTGTCTGCAGTCTCTGGTCATCTCCTGTACTGTGTCCGCAGTCTCTGGTCATCTCCTGTACTATGTCCGCAGTCTCTGGTCCTTCATCTCCTGTACTGTGTCCGCAGTCTCTGGTCATCTCCTGTACTGTGTCCGCAGTCTTTGGTCATCTCCTGTACTATGTGCGCAGTCTCTGGTCATCCCCTGTACTGTGTCTGCAGTCTCTGGTCATCTCCTGTTCTGTGTCTGCAGTCTCTGGTCAGCTCCTGTACTGTGTCTGCAGTCTCTGGTCAGCTCCTGTACTGTGTCTGCAGTCTCTGGTCATCTCCTGTACTGTGTCTGCAGTCTCTGGTCAGCTCCCGCAGTGTACTGTGTCTGCAGTCTCTGGTCATCCCCTGTACTGTGTCCACAGTCTCTGGTCATCTCCTGTTCTGTGTCTGCAGTCTCTGGTCAGCTCTGTCACTGTACTGTCTGCAGTCTCTGGTCATCCCCTGTACTGTGTCCGCAGTCTCTGGTCATCTCCTGTTCTGTGTCTGCAGTCTCTGGTCATCTCCTGTACTGTGTCCGCAGTCTCTGGTCATCTCCTGTACTGTGTCCGCAGCTCCTGTACTGTGTCTGCAGTCATGGTCAGCTCCTGTACTGTGTCTGCAGCCTCTGGTCCATCTCCTGTACTGTGTCCGCAGTCTCTGGTCATTTCCTGTACTATGTCTGCAGTCCATTGGGTCAAAATATTTTTTTTCTTGTTTTTCTCCTAGGTGTCTAGGTGCGTCTTATGGTCAGGTGCGTCTTATGGAACGAAAAATACGGTAGGTATCGTAGAAAGTTAACAATATTAATAATTCTTAATGATATGTATCCCAATAAAGGGATATGTATTGGGATACATATCATTAAGGATTATTAATATTGTTGACTTTGTATGATACCTATATATTATTGTGATTTTATTTTTGTACATTTAGTGATTGCAGCTGATGTCGCATGTATCCTGAAGAAGCTAATAAAGAGAAACACATTGACTCTTGAGGACTCACGTTTCCGCCATATAACTATACACTATGAATTATTATTCTTACAAATTAGGTGGATAGTGAGTCAGCAGCCAAATATTACTAGAGAATTATGTGTACATTATTTTAACTAATATTATTGATTTGATACGTTGTTTTAATATGATTGCAGAGAAACATTAGATTTTATGAATTGTAGTTGTGTTCCCTTTCATTGTTAGTATTTTCCATTTTTTTGCTATGTATATACACTTATACTATATATACTTATATGGATGTGGCAATTGAGCGGTAGAATATATAGCATTTAATTATAAACCCCAAACAGAAGTCCAACTTCACTGAATACAGTGAGCCAAATTAAATTTTCATAACAGAACAATTGAATCCCATTGACTACAATGGGCGCAAACTAAATTTTCTTATCCTAGCATCTGACTAGGAAGATGCTACACATACAAGACAGCAGAATCAAAGGACCAGTCTAGGATTTTTCTTGGCTCTGCATTCACATTGGCTTTTTCTGACCTGAGGTCTAAGAAGACGCACAGTGGGGTCAGGAGCTGGCAGCAACAGTAGAGTTAGTCAAGATCTACCTGTTACCTGCCTGCGATCGACAGGTCAACATAAAACAAGTTTGTCAACCTCACCTCAAACCCATAAAATCCTAAAATGGCCTCGGAGAATTAGGTAAACAAGAATAAAATAAAATAAATAACAATACTTTATATCACATGCATTCAGTAAAACAGTACATTGTTAAGAATATTATAAATCTTATTGCTATTATTATTACTTCATAATACACAGGTTACTCCATGTACTTACCAGGCTGCCGAAGAATCTAGTCACCTAGTCATCTAGTGTTGAACTGGATGGACTTTTGTCTTTTTTCAGCCAGACTAACTCTGTAACTATGGTCTAGTGCATAATGTGTATATTTCAAATAACTGACTTTTTGAAGCTTTCTGATAAGTACGGTATCTATTTTTTCGTAGCACTGCCCATAATCAGCTGATTTCTGAATCACCACCTACAAAGAGAAGTACTTGGTGCACATAGCAAATAATAAAAATGAATAATCTTGAAAATGATAGTAAACTCATTCTGGGAAGCTGTAAAGGTTTACTGCACTTAAAAAGGAAGTATTTTTTTTTTCAGGGCTGACTGGTTGCTTTTTATGCAAGAAAAGACTGTCTAACATTTCTGGTACAGATACCTCCATTTGCCTGCCAGCACTTTTTTCGAAAAGTATAACCTGGGCTACGTATGCACAATTCTGTGCCAAGACAAAGTAACTCCCATGTACAAGCACAGGATAAGTACAGCAGGTTGCAGGTGCAGTTTCAGGCTCCTCCACCTTTCAGCCTGAATCTCTGTATAGGTTGTCAGCTTGCAAGCTGGAGGGAGTATGAGTGGGCTGTGAGCTTGCTGATCAGGACACTCGCAGCCCATTCAAAATATAAGTCTGTCTGCCACAGCAGTAGCTTTCTCATTCACAGATTCCTGTGATGAATGCCATGGCTGTGTGTCATTGAAGCCCCATGCAGCCACTCAGCAGATCAGAGAGGACAGAGGATCCCCTGCCCCCTATCAAGGGACATGTACTGGAGCATGTTACATGTTACACCCTGAATATGTAATGTAATGTATAGCATGCTTCAGAAGGTGAATTTCTCCTTTCCATTTTTGCTAACAATTTAGAAGTAATTGGGCTGATTTATTAAAGCAAGCACAAAAACAGATCCCCACCAAAGACAATAGATCCCCCAGCAGCCAGCATCAATAGATCCTCCAGTACACCCCACTCCCCCCTTGCCATTACATACATTCAGTGCTGGAAACTGCATTCCCCCTGAAAAAAAAGCCCTGAGGTCACTGCAGAGTAGCTGGCCGAAGGTCTAGTAAATGCCTGGACGCACATTTTTATGTAATTGTTTCATAAATACGGTAAAGACAAAATTGCATAAAAATACACGTCCAAGCATTTACTAGACCTTCGGCCAACTACTCTAAAGTGACCTCAGATCTTTTTTTTTCAGGGGGAATGCAGTTCCCAGCATTGAATGTATGTAATGGCAAGGGGTGTGGGGTGTACTAGAAGATATATTGATGCTGGAGGATCTATTGTCACTGGGGATCTGTTTTTGTGTGAAGGGCTATTGTTGCTGGTGAGGAGCTATTGGTTCTGGGGGTCTTATGTTTCTGGTAGGGATCTACTGTCAATGGAGAGGTTGCTGGCTGCTGGGAGATCTGTTGTTGCTGCTGGGGGTCGAATAATGCTGGGGTAGATCTTTTGTAGCTGGGGGTAAAGTTTTTTTGTGGGTGGTTCATTGTTGCTGTGTGGGGAATCCATTGTTGCTAGTGTGGGGTCTGTTGTTTCTGCTGGGGATCTATTGTTGCTGGAGTGGGGTCTATTGTTGGGGAACATATTTTTGCTATGGTAGGGTCTATTGTTGCTGGGGGGAGTCTATTGTTATTTGGAGAATCTATTGTTGCTGGGAGGGAAATATATTGTTGCTGGCTGCAGAGGAACTATTTTACTTCTTTTCTTGTTATCATTAAATTATTTAGCACCATAAAATGATACTTGCTTTTGTATTCTCTAAAAGGGACTGGGAGGTAAGTAGGTGGTGGAACCATGGGACGGTGCTCAGAGGAGGGTAGGGGGTGGGGACAAAGGGCGGAGATTCAAAGAGGGAGTTCCTACAACTATTCTCTGAAAAATAAAGCCCTGGTGATGCTTAAATTAGAAACCAGGTTTGTAGTTCTGCAAACACATGTACAGCAGTACATTTAAAAACTTATTTAGGCCTTTGTTCACAATAGTGCAATTTCTCATGCGACCTGAGTTCCGAAGAATCACATGACAATGGTGGATCTTCACATCAATGCAACGCGGAAGGGTCGGTCCTGAGCTTTTTTTTGCGCGATGCAGTGCTATAGTGTGGGCCATAGACTTCCATGGAAATGCATCAAAACACATGTACATTTTAGTAGTAGTATTGACAGTAATGGCAAAAAATATTGGCACCCCAGCATTTCTGTCAGATAATGCACCACTTCTCCCAGTAAACTGTTGCAATTACATGGCATTCTCATATTTATTTCTTTTGTTGGTATGACACAAGAAAGTGGAGAAAGAAAAATCCAAATCTGATACATTCTACGCAAACTCAAAAAATGGACTGGACAAAATTATTGGCACCTTCTCAAAATTGAAAGAAATAATTACATCCCAAATTTGTGGTACTCTTGTAATTTGTAATGAAACTCACCTGTATCAATTAACAGGTACTGACAATATAGAAATCACACCGTCAACCACCTAAAATAAGGACCTGTATATTAGTAATAGGTTCAACACTGCCCAAGCCATAAAATCGCTTTCCAAAAATGCACAGCAGTAAAATCATTTGATAATTGCAAAGCACTCACATGAAAATCACAGGACAATCACACTGCATAATCGGACCTCAAACAGGATCTCGAACTGCATTCAAAACTCATCATACTAATATGAACCAGGCCATAGTAAGCAGTTGTTTTATGTTTTCTCCACAATATCCAAAGCTACATCAAGGATAATAAAAACACACATGTAAACTTTGAAATAAAACATATTTTAGTCAAGAAAGCACATTAAATATGCAAGGATTTAAACACAGCATTCCCAAAAA